ATTCCGGCTGGAATTTTATTTGGAGCAGAATTCATACTTAAACATTTTATCTTGGACAGAATTTTCAACTTTGAAATTTTCTTGGGAAGGAATGGTCTTCACTATGGGCGGAATTATATACTTAAACATTTTTCTTGAACAGAATTTCACATATAAGATGCATGTCTAAATATAATTGTTAACTCTTGTTTTTGCACTTGCAGACATTGAAATTTTACCAACTGTACTTATTTTTGTTGAAGCATGATACTTGACCAATAATTACAGGTGTATTTTTTTGAATAAATAGGGTTATTTTTTAGACATTAAAATATGCCTAAACAATGTTTTTAAATATTGTGGCAAATGATATATTGTAAGACTAATTTAGCAAATCTTTTTTGTATTGGAAAACAACTGTAATAATCTTAGTGTAAAAAAAATAGAACTTGAAAACATTCACCTCCAAAATGCTTAGGTTTATAAAAAGCAACATTGAAATAAGAATGCTGTTTAAATTTGAATATCAGGACAGCCACAGGACAAGAATTAGTGTGCTTGCCATTTTAACTCAAGAAATCATGATTTTGTTATAAAAAATAAACAAAAACAAAACAAAAACATTGCATGAAATAATCTCGTATAGTATGCCATTTTAATCTATATAGAATTGATCAGCCAATATGCACAATAATTGCTTTCATTAAGGTAAATAAATACTACAATATATATCCACTGAGATTTTACACTACACAGATCAGAGCTCTGATAAAACTCAACTGACCAGCAGTTTCCCACCATCTTAAAATTCTTTGCATGACTAATTTACTCCACTGGTCATTCCAACAGATCAGGCTGTTCCATTGAATTATTTTGGGGAGAGATAACATTATAAATTTCATATGCAGAATTTGTCAAGGACATTGCAATTATTTTTGTTCAGAAATTTGTAATGATTTTTAAATATATCTATTTGTTACTTGAATTTTTGTTACATTCAATGAATGGAGGTTGAGATGATGAGTAAATTAACCCTGTTTTACATAATGATTGACCTGTCCATGCAGTTATACAGTTGTGAATTTTGAATTCTAAGATATCTGGGTCAGCAAAAAGAGTGCAAATAACAGAGGATATACTTGATATTTTAACAATTTTGGAGATATATTTTTGTTAAAGATCTCAAAGTGTTTTAGTATAGGTATGATAAATAAGTGTGAAAACAAGGGACAAGGAGATGAACAAAATAATCAGGTAATTATAAACCTTTAGTTACATGCTGAAACAAGTTTTATATCAAACTATCAATGGTAGCAAACTAAAATTTGTAACAAGAGGTCAATGTTGTTTTTATATTTTCAACTTCATACATTTGTTTTTTTCTGATAATTGTTTTAAATCTTTATTACATGTTTAATGACTGTAAAATATAAATTATTCAATGATTCTATATAATGATTGTGTGTATCATGTATAAATTAATAGCATGTAGTAGATCTTCTTCATTTCCTGGAAATTAAACAAAGTAAGTCAATTAGATTAAATAGGAATAAATGGTACAAATCAGAAGTTTTGTACAGCTGAACAGGGTCATCATAATCATTTATTATTTTACATGTATGTGAACGTGTTTCCAATGGAACAATCTAAAATTACATTTTACACTCATAACTTCAGACTGGGAGTTAAGTGCTGACTGTGAGATGCAAGGTGTTTCAATAAAGATGTGCAGTATTAATCCTGAAAAGGTATATTTTTAAATCTCAATACTTTACTATTCAACATCTTTCCTTGAAAAAATACATAACCAGTAATAAATAGTGTCACAAATAAAGCAGTTAATTAATTCTTATACAGAGCAATTCTTAAACACTTGCGCACTGAAATAAGATACTGCGTAAGCTTTAGTATTTTTGAATATGCATAAGCACTGTTAATATTTAATACTGTTGAAACATAAAATTTGATATTATCAAAAAATATGAAATATAACTGCATATAATTATGCAATCAAAATAATTCATTACTACATTTTTGTTTAATTAATTATTAATTTTATTATTAAAGGTGAGCACAACCACAAGAAGTTCTTGGAAATACAGGCAGTGGACTTAAAAACAGACATCAATTAAAGAAATAGTAATTTAAATAATCAGAAACATTTGAAACAAATTTATGATTGAAACACTCTCAGCAAAAAAATTGCAAAAAAACAAAGTGTTGGATTCTAAGAAAACCAGTACCTACCAAAACCTGCAGGTAGAAAAAAACTGTTTGTGTTATTGTGAATGTATGGTTTTCTATTCTGTATTTGGACTAAAGGATATGTATTAAATTTTGTGAAAGAAAATTTAATTTGATACATTATTGATAATTTTATCCCAAAAAAATGTGATCATGTTAAACTCATAAAAATTCCGCCCCCATAAATTCTGTCTGAGAATTCCGCCCAGAATATTGTTTGACAATTCCGTTCCAAAGTTCCGTTCCGAAATTCCGCCCCGAGATTCCGCTTCAAAATTCCGCCCCAAGATTCCGCTTCAAAATTCCGCCCCAAGATTCCGCTTCAAAATTCCGCCCCAACTCATTTGCATATTTCGTCCCAATTCCGCGCAGAATCCGTCCCGTTTCCGCCTGGAATCCGGCCGGAATCCGTGCCAAAAGCAAATGGTTTAACACTTGTTTATTTGGGGGAGAATTTAAATTTCTGGGCGGAATCTGCCATTGAATTCCGCCTCATTTCCGTGCAGAAAATTTCGTACAGGTAGATATTTATTCAAATAAAGCTGAAGTATTGTTAAGAATAGCAAATATGATAACTGCCAATTTATATGGAAGATTCCCAACTTTGGCCTCATATCTGTCATTTTTTCTGCTGACCATTACTTCAAACACATTTGGCGGTGTTTCGGTAATTCTTGTAGCGGTTTTAGGATGGTTTAGGACCTAGTGTATGTAAATACTAATTCTCGTGATGCATAAAAAATTTTGTAATACACTTCCAATATGGCAGTGCCAGGGAGGAGGTAGGCGAGATGTTTGAAATACAGAGCAAAAAAAATGTATAAATAAGTGCAAAAACAGTTTTGCATTAATGACCAAATAAAGATTGTTGGTCATGTGATATTTTTCCATATAAAAAGCAATAGTATAGATAAATTGTGTAATTACAGGTCCGGATTACTTGAAATTTTGCATTTAAAACTGCTTGTTTTTGAAGTCCAGTCTTCAAGAAATGTATCTGTGTATTATTACCATGATTTTGATGGTTTATAAGAAATATTATCAGTGAATAAAATGGTTATTTACTGTTTTAAAAACAGTGAAAATTACCACTTGGGAATAATTTCACTTTTTGAATTTAAAGCCCTTCGTTTGTTCAGTGAAATTACCGTTTCCAGAACTGAGTGGAACTTAATGATGTGACGTTCGTAAATGAGTCAAGTTGTTTATTTTTGGCGCGCTTTTCATCATTAATAGGTTTTTAAATGTCTTTTTAAAAAGGTTTCTTTGCATATTGATAAAAAAAAAATTTTTGTTTAGTTTAAAGTGTAAGATCGAAATAATTATCTTCACCTTGGAAAACACCAAATTTTTATATTTCCTTGTGAAATATTACATTTTGGTGCTCACTCGGTGAAATATATTTACGATCTTTACACCGAACTAAACAAAATATCCTCTATATAACTTAATCTTTTATACAGCTGACTTGAAAGCTGGGCAGCAATCACTTCCTAAAAAAAAACTTTATAGACCTCTGTGGCGTTAAGAAGTTATCTGTATTCAACCTCTTGCTGTTGTAGAATTGACATTGTGTTCATTTTCCAATGTAGTTAAAACAAAGCATTGAAAAAGATAAAATGTCTAATCGGCTGTTTAAGGTTTGGAACCACAGTAGGATAATTAAAAAAATTGGTTGTGGCTGGATCGCTAGAAGAGTTGTTGCAAAAAGGTAAAAATTTGTTTATTTATATTTGGCAATAAGTTTACATGATTTGCATAGCACTTTTGGCGTTTGAATGTATTTGAAAAATACAATGAGCTTAATATTGTTATGGAAATGTTACAATTTTTGAATTAAGGGCAATACATTATTGAAGTTTAGTCACATTCAGTGGTTTATTAATTTAACAAGACATATGGAGATTGTTGAACAACTGGATTTTGTCACCAAAATAAGTCGCATTTCATTTCAAAATGAACCTCCTTAAGAAAAATCTACATGTAATTTACAGTATAGTTGAAATATGATAAATTTTCAATAAAAATTTTAACTGACAATGAATTGTAATGTTTTGTCTGAATATTTTAACTTGCTTTCGATTTCTTAAAGCTGCAGTTAAACTGGCCTTGAATGGTGAGGTCAGAGCAGTGCTACAAAGTGATGGTACTGATATTGAAGATGATGAAGTTTTATCCCTGCTTCCCAAAGATGATGCTATAATGGTTCTTGAAACTCAGTCAGCAGTGGGAACGAGACACCTACTGTTTTAACCATACATGCTGAAGAACAAAAAGGAAACCAGGGAGACGCAGGGTAATTTTAGTTGACGTTAATGAAAGTAAAATAGATTGAAGTAATATTCTTTTCTGAAATTCAATATTGATGTACAATTTGATTAATAAAAGAAATCGAAAAACTGAAGGATTATGATTTAACTGGTTTATAAGATTGTAAATTTTAAGGTTTACAATACATTTTGATGTTTTGAACATGACACACTTGTTGACAAAAGCCTACTTACTGAAATGATCTCTTACAGTTAATAAACAAATGTAAAATTGAAATAATGTTTTCACTTGTTCTACAGATAATTTGAATGATAAGCCTAGGTTGTCATAAAAAAAAGTTAATTATTGAGTGTACAGGAAACACTAGCAACTACATAAGTAAATAGTGAAAATTTGATAGCCATTATAACTTTTAAAGATGGACATGATTGGCAGAATTTTGAAGAAAGTATGTAAAATTAAATACTTCTTTTCTTTGTTAACAAAGGGTTTATTTTCACTTTTAGATCAATCAGCGGGAACTTCCGTACATCCAAGTCAAATTGAACTGGTCAACTTAAGTCAAAACCTGATTGACAGGAAGCCATCATCTCAACTGCCCAACTTAGGTGAATACATCAAACAAAAGCTGTTGGCACAGGAGAGTCACCTGGTATGGACAAAGCTCATACAAGAATGTGCATACTATTACTTAGCTCATTTACCTCGGATAGGCCTTGACAACAGTTCTGGTGATTACAGAGAAATTGGACGGACTATGTATGATGCCTATCCAGCCATTGCACGTGATGGAACTCAACCATGGGTAATCATATTCTCATTATGCTTTGTTGCTTCTTTCTTTTTTTGCATTCAAATCTTTTTTAATCTTATGACTTTGTGAAGGTACTTTTCGTTGTGTAAATGGTAAAGTTTTGTCATTATGGGAGCTGATTCATTATTTGAAGTAGGATAGAAAGATGGTTTACCGGTATGATGTTTCCAGATTAATGAATATAGATGCATATGTATTATGTTTCTCATAAGGCAATACAACATTAGAGGATATATTTATGTATGTTTTTGTGTAAGATGAAATTTTATTTCATCGAGTGAGCTTTAAAACAATATTCTCACATCTTACACAAAAATTTATTATTTTTTTATTTTATTTTTTTGCAACAACATAGATCACAGTTACATAATAAGATATGCATATATATATATAAAACAGTTTGCAAATTAAAAGTTTATATCAATAAAATTTGCCTCCCCCACTGGCAGCCCCATATAATGTCTGTAGAACTGTCGATGTAATTTTACTCATACACTAACTACTCATACACTAAAGAAGTGTCCATGTACTTTTTACCAAAAAAAAATATTTAAACACCTGCAATTAAATTAACCCTTCTTTATAATTATATATTGGATGTATAATGATTGATGAAAAAACATATTTAATAGGGAATGTTTTAATTAATTATTTACTAACTATCTTTATAATTATCCATCATGTTTGGTTATAACATTATGGTTTTAAAAAATGCAGGGCAAGGACTTCAGTTCATTAGTCATGAGATGGCAAGTTGGGTTAATTGAGACACACCCAAAGGAGGTTTTATAAGTAAAAGAAGTTTCCTTTTCAAAGAATGAAAAAATAAATTTGCATATTTTTCACAGTGAAAATATCAGATATACTTTTCACAGATTTTCAGTAATCTATTGAAAAAAGCATAAAATAAATTAGTTTTATGTTTGAATTATACACATGCTTACAACTTTGTGACTAATAAACTGTCAATAATATCTGGACATGTGGCAGGAAAAGCCTACTTGCTGCAAAAACACAAAATTGTTAGCCACATTTCTATAGGACTAAGATTTATGGTTTTACAAAATCTATAGTGTAGTTAGTGCCTTTGCACACCTTATTAACATGATTACATGGCTTATTGAAAAAGGTAAATGCGTTTTTTAAGTAAACATTAAAACATTTTTTTTTATCATTTCTTTGTATAAAATTTTTTAGTGGTCTGTCTTAAGAGATTTAGTAATATCATTTCTTCATTGTTCTTATTCCAGAGTTTCTTCACAAAATGCCTGTCTCAAAAAATAAGATGCATCAGGTGGGACAACAAAAGGAGAAGTGTAACAACTAACACCAAGGCAGAAACAACAATGCCTTCACCCAAACGGTTTAGAGTTGGAACATTAGATGTGTCAGAGGAATGTGACGAAGAAACATATTTGAGTCATGTAAAGCAAATGGTGCAGGAAGTGGAAAAAAAGGAACCTAATATTACCCATATGCAAACTCTACTGAAAGGGACTTTCAACCGCAGGAGACAATGGATACAACAATTGCCTCAAGGGAGTGTAAAACCAATTTTGGACAAGTTTCCATGCTTCAAAGACCCTATCTATGTAAGTTGTTCTGCATTAGATTATTTACATATGGCAGTGAAAGGGTTAATTCTGGAGAACACTGTCATCTGAAGTTTTGCACCTTTCTGTTAGTCTGCTCATAATTTGGCTTTCAGGATGACTCTAAAGTGGCAGTGCTGAAGGCTTTAGAATCAGAAACAGCTTACAGAAAAGGAAAGGGCCAGAAGACTAAGCCTTTGATGCAAATAATTAAGGTAAAGGTGTTAGATATTCAAATCTTTTAATGTCCTAAAACTTCTTTTTTATGTGACCAGCTGTGATTCAATGATTGACATGTCTGTACATCTGTGGACATATTTTACATCATAAATTTGTAGGGAGTATACCTTAACATCTTATTTCCATAATTATCAGCATGCCATATTTGGCATGCACACTTGTCTGATAAATACGGTAATTAATGCGAGTTTTACTTCAAAACAGATTTATGTAGGTAAACTATTCTAACAAAGAATAAATAATTTCCATGGTAGTTGTCACTTGATGATAACACTAAAAAAATGCTTTTAACATTGAATGATCTCTAAGATTTATACAAACGCTAACAGTTTTTTTAATGTTCCCCGAAAAATTTCGGGGGAGCATTTAGTCGTCGGGTTGTCGGTCCGTCCGTCTGTCAGTCCATCCGTATGTCAGGGTTCGACACTAACTGTTTTTACCAGGGATCCCATAGGAATCCCTGAGATTTAATTCAGGGATTCCTCCTAAATGTCAGGGATTCCTCATATCAAAATAGTAAAATATGAAGGCGAAGAATAACAAGGGAGTGCAGCAATTCAATTTCAAATTCTTTTTTTTTTTGAGACCACATACAGGATATATTGTCTTGTTTCAGATGCAGAAAATGTAGTTTATGGAAATATTGCTGTTTAAATTTTGAAAAGCGTTTCAAAGTGTTAACTAGTATATATATATTTGGACTGCTAAGATAAATTTATTAAAACATAATACATTTTTACATGAACATGGAAACAGAATAACATTAAGCTCACTGAACAAGAGTTTGATTTGAAAATAGCTATTTTGCTTAAACCTGTTTTCTCCCTGGAGTTGATAATTGTGAACCAGTTACAATATCTAAATGAAGGTATAATGCAAGTGACTTGACAAGGGACTTAGGGTTTGAATTTTTGAAGTTAAGTAGGAACTGGGGAAACATTTTCCCAAATAGCCTAGGGTTCATTGAAATAGAGCCCACAATTTGGCTCCATATTCCAGTAAGGGATGGTATGGATAACTTTTGAAAAATATTTACTTTCATGTCATTTTAAAGAAATTCTTAACTATGATCACTTTAAAAAATAATTGTTTTCAGCTAGCTTACATTTTTTGTGTTTAAAAGGAAAAATCCCATAGATTGTTGTAAATTTATTATTAAAATTTTGATAATTTTTTACTTAAGCTAATTAAAATATCAAGAAAAAGTTTTGTTTGCATTACAAGTACAGTACCTTTAAATGATTTCATTTTTAAAAATAATAAGTTGCTACAAGTCCATGACAGGATGTGCAATATCCAAATTTATTGTTCCCAATTTTTACACTGAAATGTCCAATCCCTTTCCTAGCTGTGTATTGATTTTTTTTAAAGTTTTGACACCTGTCACATCAAAGGCACTCACCGCATACAGCAGTCATGTAGTTCACAACACTGATTGGCTCAAAGCACTATCAGATGAAATAGAATGACAGACTATTCTCTCCCTAACCAGTTCCTCTCCCTGACGGTTCTCTCCCTAACCGTTTCCTCCCCTGACGGTTCTCTCCCAAATTTGAAATAGGCAGACAGTTCTCCCCCATTTTTTTAGTAGTTATCATTTTAGTTTTTACTTCTATATAATCTAATAATATTTCTTAATGAAGACTATTAAAGAATGTATTTGACATTAAGTGCATTTTATGTTTTATGTTTATTTGATTCTGAAAAGTGTTTGTAAATTAAACACCTTATTCAGGTATTTTAATCCTATTAACACCTTCATTGTGAGAGGTTAAGATTATTTGACAGTGATTGATATACACCTGTAATTATGTTAAAGTCTAGAGATATTCATTCATTTGTTAAATAGGGAATTACTTAATAAGGTGGTAACAAGTATGTTATAGAAAATGAATAAGCAACAACTTGTATGCATTCACATTTCACATTTACTTTTATACAAAATTGATTAAAGAACATTGTAGTCATTAACATGAAACAATATATAATACCAAATAACTAATAAAAATATTTATTTATCAACACCTTTTCACATTTATTTTAATCATTAGATTACACCTTGAGTCTTGAATCACCTTTTAATTATCTCTGACAGCAAACTTAACGCAAATGTGTATTGAACTCCTTTCTTCATTATACAAAAGTATGAAATTTAGCAATTAAAATTCATAAATCATTTTTTGCTTATAATTGTTTTTCTTATTTCAATGGTTTAAACATATTTTATTCTTTCTCACATACATGATTTTTACAATCAAAACAAGAAAAGGATTAGACTGGAAGCAACCTAATGCTTATTGAAGTCTTTTCCCAATGTACAATAAATATATGTGCGAAATAAGGCGAAATAAATTGTCGTTTGTTGACTTAGAAGGCTGATGTGTTACAACTTGCATCGAAAATGAATAAATAAATATAAGATATATCAATTATTTAAAGAAAAGCAAAATAAGACTAATAATGATAATAGTTTGATAAGTTCAGATAGAAAGAAGAATGAGATAGAAAAAGAAGGAGAAAAAAAAACAACAGAAAAAATGACCTGTGATTTAACCCTTAATGATAGTTGAAAATTATTGGAGAGTCAAAGCGATTCGATTTTTCAATATATTTATGAACTGCAAGGAATATTTTCTCATTATCTGAGTCTGTAAGTGTCGTGTTACCAAACAGGATGGTTTTCTTATTTAAAAAAAAAAAAAAAAAAAAAAAAAAAAAACTCACCCAAAAGTTAATATTGAATGATTATCCTAATCAAGTAAATTATTCAATTATTATTTTCAATAACTAAACACATTAAAAAAGTATACTTTAAATCTAATAAAACAATCAGAATAATATACGAATATGCTAAAATATTTTTTTTATCTAATTTTATCAATTAATCATAAACATACCCATACATGTATTAAACATCTTAATACTTCAATGAAATATTTTTTTCTCTATTTTATTTCAATAAATAATAATTTAATAATAAACTAATCCATTTATTAAACATCTAAATACTTCAATAATAATGTATTGATAAAAATAAAAATGGGGAGGAACTGTCTGCTTATTTGCAAATATGCAGACGGTTCTCCCCCAAAATAGGGAGAGAACTGTCAGGGAGGAAACGTCAGGGGAGGAACTGGTAAGGGAGAGAATAGTCTGACTACCGATGAAATATACGTCATTTGCTGTATATTTCATCATTTGCTGTATGTTTCACCTAAGGATTTTTCTATTTCTTGTCGGTAAATAATGCGTGACCTTGATTGACCTTAGACTTTAGTTAGACAATATTTTTTAGCATTGAGACTGTGAGTTTCAAAAAGGATTTTAAACGTAAAAGTATGGATTATTTTTAATTTGTTTATTAATTATACTTTTGCTGTAGAGAAAAAAAATACACCAGTAATCTTTTTTTCACAATTTTGACGAAAATTTACAATGATCAAAAGTGCCGAATTTTGGCAATCAAAAAAAAACCAAATAACAAACACTGGATAACTTTGTAGCTACCGCCGGCAATGCCGATCAACACATATTTGAAGTACACATCGCTTGTGTAATAAATATACGATAATTGCATTTTTTTTTTTGAATTTTCACAACTCTTATTTTATGAAGTCAATGCATGATATAAAATTATTCAAGAATGTTTATTTAGTCAAAACATTTTTTTCGTTATATAGTAAATGAGTTGATAGCTGTCACTGCACAAAGAAAAACTAGCGTACATGATTCAAGAGTGTAGATTTTATCGGCAGGGTTTTTCTTCTCTTTCTTGAACCACTTTTCTTGAATATTTGTGATTCAATGATATTAATTCAGAAAATTTCAAAATTTTTATTTACACAGCAATTTTTCAGGGATCCCAAAGGAATCCCCAGCTAAGAATCACAGGGATTCCTCCCGACTTTTTGGGATCCTCGGAATCCCGGGACCCCGTTAATGTCGAACCCTGTATGTACGTCCCGATTCGTGTCCGGCCCATAACTTTGTTATTTGAAGTCGGATTTTAAAACTATTTCACAGAAATGATCACCATATTGAGACAACTTGTCGCACGCAACATTTGGCTTGTTTTTACACTTTTAACTTTGTCTGTGACATAACTCTGACACTACTAGAGGTATACCTTCCTGTGTCCAAAACCTATCCGGTTCAACCGGCTCCTGTTTTAAAAATCTGATGTATAAAAATTATCAATATTTGTTTCAGCTTGAAGATGATGGGAATTTTGGGAGACTTCTTTCTTCTGCACCAGAGTCGGCACCAAAATTGGTTGCAATTGAGAAAGATGAACATATTGTGAACATGGCTATTGTTTGTGATGGTACACACATTCTTCTAGAGACAGATGATTCAATAGAGGCCATAGCTGTGTTGATTGGTTTGTATTACCTTGCAGACCTAGATTATCCAAAGGCATATTCACAGGTTGGTTAAAACAAATTTTCAACAAATTTTAATTATTATTATTAATCTGTTTTAAATGCTAAATTTCTATTGATCAATTATGTAATATTGTAATAATAAGTCACAAAATTTTGGTTGATGCACATGCTCATTGAAAAATGGAGTCACTGGCATCATATTATAAAATGACATTTTGCACTGTTAACACCACTGGTGAAGAGTGCTTCAAACATCCTTCATAAAATTGCATTGACTTGTCCATGTGTATGTGATTCGCCTATCAGACTTTTATGCTTGTTTTTGTTGATGTCAGTTTCAGTGCACTAAGATCTCCTTTGCGAGTTATGAATCAAAACTTTATTTAAGGGAAAGAATCCAATTGATCTATCTAATAAAATAAATATCCACACTAACATTGTCCTTTCAGAAAAAGAATGCTACCGCGAGTTTTCCAGTTTTATGTGATTTTGTGTTCTTAATCACAATTTCAAAAACTTTTTTCCCCAAAATTTGAATCATTACCATGTTTAATGAATAGGGATTTCTGCAATTGCTTAACTTCTTATGCTAATATGCTACTATGAATGAAATATGTATGTACACACAGGTGCTTGGGTTCCTTCAGCAAACTGTACTTCAGCAGCAGTTTGATGGGCATAAGAGCTATGGATTTGTTCAATATTTAAAGAGACTGAACATGGAGATGGAAAGAAAAGAAAAACAGCCAATGTGACTTAAGTGATCCAGCCATCATAAAGTGAAAATTTGAACTTTACTTTCATTTGGATAATTATCAGTTTACACTGTTCATTATGTTTTACTGTTCAGCACTGAGATAAGTCAAGCACGCTGTCTTACATACAGCTCTTGTTGGACTTGGGTTAATATTATAGCAATGTTGGAAATTTGTGTGCAATTTTAAGTACTTTCATAGTTTATTGTAGGAATGGCAACAAATGCTGTTTTGGTATTTGAATATTTGTATGGAGCATTCAAATGAAATCCAATATTTGAATATTCGTATAAAAATTTTATTGCATCCAAATTTGTATTATGACCATTACCAATGCACTTTGATCAATAAGTTTTCCTGTTAAATTGAGAATTTCTATGCTCTTTTGAGAGTCGTTAATGATGCCTTAGTATATAACTATTCACAATATTCATCATAAGTATTTTTGAAGAACTGATTTCATAAATAAGATGTGATATTTGCCAGCTGAAGGCATTATTGAGTGGTGAACATCTCATATTTAATGACTAGTAAATCCATAATTATTTTATCCTTTGTTGAATTTTGAAAATATGTACAATAATAAATGTAATTTTATTTTAACTGGAGATTATATAGAGGATATTTGTTAAGTTCAGTGTTAGATCGGAATATATTTCACCGAGTGAGCACCAAAAGGTATATTTCACGAGTGGCGCAGCCACGAGTGAAATGTGAACTTTTGGTGTTCACGAGGTGAAATATATTTCGATCTTACACTAAACTTAACAAATTTTCTTTTTATTATATGCAAACAAACGTTAAAAAAGACATTTTTACCTAATACTAAATGAAAAGCGCGCCAAATAATAATACAACGTGACGTCATTTACGACGTCACGTCATTAAGTTGGTACCCAGTACTGTGCACGCTGGTATGTTACTGAAACAACATAAGGGGCTTAAATTCAAAACAGTGAGATTATCAAAGTGGTAATTTCACTGTTTCAAACAGTGAAATTACCAGTTTTATATCACTGATATATTTCTATAAGCCATCGAAAAGCATGTAATAAAATGCTAGAGTTGGGGAAAGATTAGATTATGTTGAAGAATCTTACCATATTTTACATGTTTTTTTTACCAGAAGATTATATATAAGATGAAATATTGTCTTAAAACTGTGAATGAATTTTGAAAGTTATTGTTAGAGTTTTGTAAAGCTTCTGGTGTTAGATTATTAAATGGCAGATGTTATGAAGATAATAATGTGGGTAAATATATATGCATTAATACACAAGGCAGCAGTGTAATAAACTATGTTTTATGTAGAATGGAGAGTAACACCAGTACTAGACTACCTTACTCCGCGCTTAACTACCAAAGCATCTCCCGGGGATCAAAACCACGACAGAGACGTAACTGAATTAGAAGTCATCGACTCCAACCCTTCGACCACGGAGGTAACAGTTAACACTTTAGTGTGCAATATATCAACAGTGACCATTAAAATGTTCAAAAATTACTGACGTACAGGTATTCCGATCTGTTCGGCAAGACTCGTGTCCGCACAATGGGTGGGGTCCCCTTGTTACGGATATTCCGATCAGAACCGCAACATATGACAGGTAATATTAATATATTATAATTTATCTGTTAACTTTCAAGTGAAAATGAGACCTTCCACGCTGTACTCATTTCCCAAATTGACAATTTAGCAAATCAAAACACATTGATTAGTTGGCTCACTGCACTATGCAGTATTACCAGTTTATATTTATGACAATCTAATAAACGTACAAAACTACTTACGTCTGATGTAAAATAAATAAATAAATAAATAAATAAATAAAAATAAAACTATAAAGAAATAAATAAATACAAACAATTTATGAAATATGAAACTGTGACTTGTGTACACGTAAAATGAATCGTCACTCGCACATTTGACAAACAGTACTTGTTTAAACAGTAAATTGGTTTAATATATTGTAAAAATAAATTTATATGTTGATAATTCAGTTTCATATCAGGACACCTGGTTCCATACATGGCTATTTTGGTACCATATATTGAAGAATTGGTATCATATAATGTAATAACCAACTCATATATTGCTACTTTGGTTCCACACATTGATAAATTGGTTTCATATATTGTAACAAGAACTGTCGGAGGACAGTAACGCTCGACTATTCAAAAAATTGTCACAAGGGTGTTTCATTGAGTATAAAAATGCTTACCTATATGAAAACATAAAATTGTCCGAAAAGGTACAAACCCTTCAAGTTTCAATACATTCCCTTCAGTAGTTATGGAGATACAAGCTTACATACAAAAACTTAACCAAGAATTTATGAATTGAAAAAGGGGCATAATTATGCGAAAAAGTAAAGAAAAAGTTATGGGACTTGTGCCAATCATCTTAGATAATCACAGACAACAAGAGTGTGAAGTTTCAATCCATTCCCTTCAGTCGTTATGGAGATACCAGCTTACACGCAAAAACTTAACCAAGAATTTCTAAGTCGAAAAATGGGCATAATTATGTAAAAAGCAAATCAGAGTTATGGGACTTGTGCCAATCATCTTGGATAATCACAGACAACAAGTGTGTGAAGTTTCAATCCATTCCCTTCAGTAGTTATGGAGATACCAGCTTACACGCAAAAACTTAACCAAGAATTTCTAAGTCGAAAAAGGGGCATAATTATGTAAAAAAGCAAATCAGAGCTATAGGACTTGTGCCAATCATCTTAGATAATCACAGAGAACAAGTGTGTGAAGTTTCAATCCATTCCCTCCAGTAGTTATGGAAATTCCAGCTTACATATAAAAAATAAACCACAGGGACGCCGACGCCGACAAATCGGTGACTGCATTAGATCGATTATTCTGCGAATAATCGAGCTAAAAATGAATTAATATATTGATAATTCGACATCTGGTTCCATATATGGCTACTTTGGTACCATATATTGAAGAATTGGTATCATATAATGTAATAACCAACTTATATATTTCTACTTTGGTTTCATAAATTGAAACATTGGTTTCATATATTGAAAAATGAATTAATATATTGATAATTCGGTTTCACATAAGGACATCTGGTTCCATACATTGCTAATTTGGTACCATATATTGAAAACTTGGTATCATATAATGTGATAACTAACTTATATATTGACACTTTGGTTCAATACATGGATGAAATGGTTTCATATATTGTAAAAATGAATAAATATATTGATAATTTGGTTTAATATAAGGACACCTGGTGCTACTTTGAATTAATATATTGATAATTCGGTTTCACATAAGGACATCTGGTTGCATACATTGCTACTTTGGTTCCATATATTGAATAATTGGTATCATATATTGTAATAACCAACTCATATATTGCTACTTTGGTTCCATACATTATAAAATGGTTTCATATATTGTAAAAATAAATTAATATATTGATAATTCGGTTTAATATAAGGATATCTGGTTCCATACATGGCTACATTGGTACAATATATTGAAGAATTGGAATCATTTATTGAGAAAATCAACTTATATATTTTGCTAACTCGGTTTCATACACTGCCGGTATGGTTTCATATATTGTAACTGTGGATTAATATAATGGATTCCGGTTAAATAAGAAGATGTTTTCAAGTCATTTATAGTCGAAATGAACTTATATATTATCAAAATGGTTAAATAAATTGAAAAAGAACAATATCAGACAGCCATGGCTTTCCATAAGCATGCACCCTTCGAACTCCGTCACATGAAAAATTGATGTGAATGTTATCAGGATTCGTGCCGATTCACATAGCAGTGCTCTTTTTTTTTAAAGATCAGCATATGAATCTTTGTTTATCGATTTGTTTGTTTAGGAAATAGATATCAATTCTGAGTGCATTGTTGTAGAATAATGCACGGTTTGAGTTCAAATGCGTAGTAATATAACCACGAAGGCCGATAATAATGCACGATGAATTAATATCTATTTCCATTCTAACACGTCAAGAAAAAATTAGAATTATTATTATAAAGTTGGACTTTATGTTTGGTGGGTAAATTTGTTTTCGCCTGAGAGTTCCCCATAGAAATGTTCTTTAAAGGCTGTTCCAGTGGGTTGAAAAAACTGTCCTTAAATCTACCGTGTGTAGAAACATTTTGAGAATAACGAACTTTGAAAACGTTGGAAAAACTTGTTTGTTTATTTTATTTCACTTTATAATTTTTCAAGCGAAAAACAAATTAATTAAAGTGAAATAAATGTAAATGCGACAAATAAATAGCGTACTTGATTTCATTGTTTTGCACGTGCTGTTTGGCGCTACATTGTGACGTCACGTAAACAACACTTAAAACGTCTGTACATCGTTAACGACTGAATTAAAGATATTGGTGTTCGGATTTATTTTCTAAGTTAGACCATTTTCTTTCATTCTAGATTGCTTTCACAACAAAATTCGACAAAAAATGTTTTTATTTATCAGATTTTTTAAACAAAATGGCGCCCTCAATGTGAAAATACACAGGGAGGTAATTAGAACGGCGAGTGCATTGTTGAAGAATAATGCACGCTTCGGGCCTTTTTTGTTTATATAGAAAAAAAAATCCGATAGTGCGCGCTAGAATGCTAATTAGAAGTGAACGGAGAGTGACAAATGAACATTGTAAATATACAGTGACATTGTTAAATGATACACTTAAAGTTATCTGCAAGAGTTAAATGCGAAAAAACTTGCCTGGTTATTGCATATAATAGTTAAATAGAGGATATTTGTTTGTTTGTGTGTAAGATGAAATTCTATTTCATCGAGTGGGCTTTAAAAACAGTATTCTCACGAGTGGCGTAGCGACGAGTGAGAATACTGTTTTTAAAGTTCACGAGATGAAATAAAATTAGATCTTACACAACAAAAAAACACATTTTCTTTTTATTTCATGCTTAAAAACAAGTTAAAACGAAATTTCCTTAATATTTACGTAAATATTAAAATCTGTTTTCCCCATTTAGAGCCCCAAAAAAGTCGAATTTCTCATTAAATACAAGAAGTCATGGGCTGAAAAATAAGTTCCACAATCAACTTTAAATGGTGGCGATAGTATTCATTTTATTAAAAAAATATGTCTGATCGCTTGTTTAAATAATAAAAACAAACAATTCTAGTAGGAGAAAAAGTCCAACCATCCATCCATATTTCTGTTACTGACTGCGAATTTATATTAGACCTGGCTATGTTAAATGTAAGCGGCCGCCATTTTGCAAGTTGTGTATTTCACTGGATGAAAATAATTGTGTTTGATTCAG